GGGATACTGAAAAATAAGTAAGAAAAATAAAATTCAAGAAAATAATTAAATGGGATGTAATATAAGCTGAGGATTAATGAAACTAAAAAAACTGAGTTTTGTATCATACTTTTATAACTTTTAAATWGATTACCTTAATTAAAATTTGATGTATTGGAAAAAAAATTAAAATTAAATTAATAAAAACTAGTGGGTAAATATTGATTTCATGTGTACCTATTATAAAATAATACCAAAGRACCTCTTCTCCCCCCCTCCAAAAATCATTACTGGTAGAATCAGTTATTTTAAATGTTGTTATAAACATGTACATACACCTCTGAAGGTTATGTAGATAATAGAATTGATTTTATTAAAAATATATTCTAAAATCAATGGTTTTAGCAAGGTGGATTTATAAATCCATCATAGGTAGTTACTAGTTAGTACTAAATTTAAAAATATATTATGTTGTGTTAAAATTGCATACACTAAGTGCCGTCTTGCAAAAAAAATTACCACCTCCTTCATATTTCTAATATTGTTTGCAGAAAATATAAGAAACTAATTAGTTTCTATTTTGATTTGATAATAAAGCTCTACATGTCCAATTATTAGATTCTGTAGTTGTTAACACTTAATTTTGATAGATAACACTGTTAACCATAAAATGTCAAGTTTATGTATATAATTATCTTTTATACTGCACAGTTTGGTTTCTCWACAAATTATTTAAAAACGCCTCAGACGCTATCAATCTTAACTAAAATGTTATATTCTAGTTTGTCATATTAATRTGTTTCGATAAGAATCTTCAAAGATTACTTGTAAAACAATTTAAGAATATTATACTATAAGGCCGAAATTAAAATATAAGTTAAGTAAAATGTTGTTTATGTACTTTGATCAAACCTTTACATAATATTTAGATATTATATAACATTAGTTATTAAAGTGTTCATTTTATAGACATAACTTGTAACTTTTATTGTTGGATGATAAAATCAACCTCAGAAACAAGACAAATAAGTGCATTTTTATTTGCCTGTGTTTATGACCCTGTGCTACTAGCATGCATCTTTAGATTTAAGTTTTATTCAAAAACTTAGTAGTAATTAAATAGTTATATTTTAACTAAATTTTTATGATTTTGAAACATAGGTAATAAGTATTAGATTTGGCATGAATTTGTAAATTAAAGTACCATCAAGATCTAATTTTCACTAATTTTTTAGTGAGAGTATTTGATATTGAATCTCGACAGAACTCAAATACTTTATAATAAATATTATGATATATTTTTGTCATTATATAATTCCAAATGATTTAATACTGGAAAATACTAAATAAATTATCCTTAGTTAAGAGATAATATCTCTGCATATTATGCTTCCAAATTAAAGACTATATACTAAAAATAAAAAGTTAAATATATTCATTAATTATTAAACAATTATTATTAACAAGTGTTACAAGGTTTAAATAATTCATATTCATATTTATATAAAAAAAAAATCATAAAACATCTAAAGTATTAAGTCCTCTTCCATTTATCAAACACATGAACTATACCGTTTTTTACACAGTATGAATATAAATTATCATTAATGATGATTCACTCATGTTTTTTTTTCATTGAAAATACCTTTTACAATATTAATTACAAAGTTGAAAATATAATAGCTTCTTGAATTATTTACATAATTTAATGTTAAAAACATTTTATTTGTAATAATTAATTTAATATATAAAAAAATAATCATAATTATCAATACTTAATTATTACAATAACCTTAAGACCAAAAATTAATTTTTACTCAAGGATGAAGTACATAGACAAAGTAAAAAAATCAGTCATTTTACCTTTTGAGGTTGTTTAWATTTGTTTTGAACATCTTATGTCATTTGTTAACTGGGCGAGATTAACCATAAATGTTGGTAGTTCCTACAATAACAACAATCATTCATTAAATATATAATTAAACCCACATTGATAAAATAATAACTACCTTGACTGGCTGCATGCGTTTTTGCCTCAAAAATTGTCGCTGATCATTACGTATATTGTCTGTTTGTTTCAAGTAATCAGGCAAGAATTTAGAAAAGAAATAATCAAAGTCAACACTAGCCATGTTGTAAATAGCCATTGATATTTCGTCTGATAGGATTGTGTGGGTTTTGTTGACCATAACATTCAATAGTACAGTCATGTATTTACTGAGAAAATAATGTTTGAAATATTCCTAAAAAAAAAAAAAAACAAAATAACTTTAATTCTTTTATTTAATAAATTACTTAATTTACTTAAATTCATACCTTCGCATATAAATTCCATTGTAAGTGTAATTCTTCAATGGCTTTTAAGTTTTGTGAAAAAATACTTATATCATTTGTCATAAATGAGTATCCTATTACTTCCAATATTGTAGTGAACTGTTCAGAATTATCGATGTTATTATCATTGGTAGGATGCAGCACAGTAAGATTTGGAGAAGCAGGAAAAAAATATCTCCATTTATACATCAAAACACTAAAAAAAGAAATTAAAAAAATGACTATTGCTGKGTTGCATAAACAATTTATTATATTTAACAGTTCCCTAAAAATTTAATGGACCAATTGTGAGCCACATCTTTTTTAAGGGATCATTGGCTCATTATTGATTCATTAAATTTTTTGTGAAACCCAGCATATAACTTTTAGTAAAATTTGCTAATGAAATAATAATTTTACCAAAAGAGCAAATTATAAAGTGCAGGCACTGTTGGTGGATAGCAGTTAGAAGCTACCAAAGGAATTAATTTCTCTAATCCTAATTTAATTACTACAGATGTAAACTCTTTATTTGATTTGGAGGAATGTTTAACAATTAATGATAGAACTTCAAGCATTTTGATGGTCAACATTGTACTAGCACACCATATCCTAAAAAAAATCAACAACACAATTACCTTATTTTTATTATTGTATTTGAAATAACAATACTTACATGTCTAAGTCAACAAATGTTTGCATAAGAATTTGTACAAACTGAGGTGACATAGTATCATGCAACAATTCATACATTTCTGACAAAAATGTAATCACTCGTTCACATTTTTCCATTTGTGGATTGAGTGAGGACTCTGATTGCATATCATTTTTTAAGTGTGTAACTGCTTCAATCAAACATGGCTACAGAAGTTTGATTATWAAAATAAAGGTTTATAATAGTTCAAAGTAATATGATTATGTAATTACTTCAACAGCACGATAAATAATTCTTCTAGTAGACATTTTGTATGGACCACTGCTGACAAGAACATCAGTTAACATTTTCAAATCATTTAATCCAGATGGTGCTAATGACTTTAAATAATTCATGAGAACTAATACTTTTATTTCTTCTTCTTGACTGGGACAAGTCAAAAGAAACTTCAAAGATGTTACTTTCACTGACAAGCGAGTCTAAAATTATGAAAGTTTTAAGCAGTTTAATAAATATATTTTTATAAAAATTATACCTTCTTATTTAAATGATTAAGTGTAATTGAACCATCTAAAAATGGTGATAATAATTGTTCAAGCAATGATGTGTACTCGCTAATATGCACAAGCATAGGCTCAGTGACCGTTGGTAGTAACACTCCACAAGCATCATGTATCTGAGTAGGTTGACTTGTGTCTTGTAAAGATGTAACCAAAACAGAAAAAAGTTTTTCTCGATTCTGTTCCATACAAAATTGTTTATTGTTATTTAATAAATGCATCCATCTTGACAAAGCCGTGAGGATTTCGCTCTGACTAAAAAAAAACATAAAAATCATAATAATAATATTAATAACATTAATAACTTTTTTCTGATATTATTCATTGTATGCGTAGTATTGGCAAATGTTTGTTGACTTTAGGAAAGCTTATGACAGCATTCATAGAAATAGCCTGTACAACATAAGGAAAGAATTTGGTTTCCCAAAAAAATTAATAAATCTAACCAAACTGTCTATGGAAGGAGTGAAGTACCAAGTCAGAGTAGAAAGTACTACGTCAGAAGCGTTTAATGTTGAAACGRGACTAAAACAGGGGGACGCACTATCCCCATTATTATTCAACATAGCCCTAGAAAAGGCAGTACGAGTTTTGYAAAACGAAGCAAGAGGAATAAGCGTGGATGAATAYCATATAAAAGTGCTAGGTTTTGCAGATGATCTTAACATCATAGGAGAATCATTGGATGATACAGTGAAAGCTACTGAAGTATTAGAACACTCAGCAGAACGAATAGGGCTACACATAAACGCAGACAAAACAAAATTAATGGAACTATTAGACATGGAAACATCGCTAGATGTTTTAGAGACGTTACCATATGAAAAAGTCGAACAATTTCAGTATCTAGGTACACTACTTAATACTAAAAATGATTGGTCCTATGAGATCGGGTCGAGAATAACAAAAGCAGAGAGAGCGTTTTTCGCCTTGCTAAAGTTTTTTAAGTCTAAATTATTTTCAAAACGAACAAAAATAAGACTATATACATCAATCATAAGACAGATACTAACATATGGTTGTGAAGTATGGACTACTACAAGTATAACAGAACGACGACTAAAGACTTTTGAAAACAAAATATGGCGAAAGA